AGAAGGAGGAGGAAGAAGAAGAGGAGGAGGAGGAGGAGGACGGGGGAGGAGGAAGAGGAGGAGGAAGAGGAGAAGCAGGAGGAGGAGGAGGAGGAGGAGCAGGAAGAATAGGAGGAGGAACGAGGAGGATGGAGGAGGAGGAGAAGCAGGAGGAGAGAGGCACAGTAACATGCGTACAATGCGTAGTCGCACTGTCTGGTAATGATGTGGATCACGGCTGCCCGACCTTGTAGCCGCGCTGGGGGGGGTGGTAGATAGCTCGCGCGGGCTCTGAGGCAGACCATTATGCTGATCATTATGCTCACCCCGCAAGATGCGTTGAACCACTTGCCTTCCCAAGCTCCAAGTTCAAAAACCTCGCGGCGGGGTAGGCGGTTCATCCGAACTGGTCCTGAGCCTGCCCACTTGCACGTGCAACTGAGCAATGTTGTATCACACGGCTGCAATTCATAACTGGTTGTCTTCCAGTCGCTCCATGCTTATGGTTGAGTCGGGCCTGTCCCCCTACAGGGGGATTTTCGACGAACAAAAAAAAATACCTCCAAAAAAGTCAAAACATAGTCCAAAAATAGTCTGGGGTCTATGTTTGGGGTATTTTTGAACCTTCTTGGGGTATTTTTGGTGTATTTTTTGTTTTTCGTCGAAAATCCCACTGTAGGGGGACACGCCCGACTTAACACCAAATGCGACTGCAAATGGCCATGGTCGGTCCCTTGGCCCCCCTGCCCGCGAGGCCAGAGGTGCCGGGCGCAAAATCGCTGGTGTACAGCTATGCGTGAGGCACTGTAGGTCTGCACCTGTGAACCTCAAACAACGACTCGGAGGAGAAGGGGGAGGAGGAGGAATAGTCCGGCAATGAATTCAAGGTGGTCTAATGAGGGAGGACACTGTCAGGCATTGGATGGGACTCGTGCCCATTGGATGGGAGGGGGAGGAGGAGGAGGAGGAGGAGGAGGAGGAGGAAGAGGAGGAGGAGGAGGAGGAGGAGGAGGAGGAGGAGCTGTCAACGCGCCGCTGCTGAGGCGCCCGCAGCCGCCAGCGCCTTGCGCAGGAAGAGGTTCGGGCCCCAGGCCTGCGGCGAGGGCGGGAGACCGCGGCTTGCGGATCGCACGGCGCCCGAGCGCTGGGCCGGATGGCACCGTGGCAGACGAAACGACATGGGCATTCAGACTCGCCCCCCTCCCTGGGGGGAGCGGGAGCGCTCACGAGAAGAAAGGAAGAGACGGTCGATCAACACTCGGTTCCTTTCAGTGATCGGCCACTTGTCTTTTTCCCTTTCGTCACTGAACGCCAAGCCCTGTCTTTTGCACCGCTCCAGAAGAAAAGCGAATGACACGAGAAAGCACAGAGCGGTGAAAATAGCGCTTTCCCCACAAGATAAAGACCACCGTCACCTCATCCTCCTTGGGGAGGGCAAGCGGAGGCAGCGGTAATTCGACCTGAGGAGGAGGAGGAGGAGGAGGAGGAGGAGGAGGAGGAGGAGGAGGAGGAGGAGGAAAGGGACAAGGAAAAGGAAAAGGAAACGGATATTCGAGATGAGGAGGAGGAGGAGGAGGAGGAGGAGGAAGAGGAGGAGGAGGACGCCCCCCGTTAAGGAGAGCTGCGCTCGCGCACCCCACCCCTGCCACCCATCGTTTACACCTGCATCGAATCGGGCTTCGGATCGCGCATGCATCCCAGAGTGGTCTCTGCAGTGCGCGGCCCGTCGTCGGCTGCAGGTGCAGAGGAGAGAGAAGCGTCCAGACTCGTGTTTTTCCCTCCTGTCGTTCCTTCAGGCAGGTTGTGACGCTACCCTCCTGCTCATGCTCGCGCCATGGAAAGTCGTTCCTTTGGAATCCCTGGCAACGATCACGACATGGAAAATCGTTCCTTGGGAGTCCCTGATGACGAGAGGCGTCCAGACCGAGCCGGGCAACGCGCAGGGGGAAAGGGCGAAGCGAAGCCGCGCACTTTGTGGGCCCTGGAGACGGCAGGGCCGTTTTTTCACCGTTTCCCAAAAAATGTCACTTGAAAATGGAAACGGCAAAAAAAACGGCGACCTGAAACGACAAAAAACGGCTCCAGGATTGGAACCGGAACCGGAACTGGTCAAAAAACGGCGTCGGAATCGGCAAAAAATTGCGTCGGAACCGACAACAAAAACGGCAAAACGGAACGGGTAAAAAAACGGCCCTGTCGCTTCCAGGGCCCACTGAAGCCGCGCAGCTGTTTTCTGTCCGCGGGCGCCACGGCGTGCGAAACGCCACGGCGCCAGTCGAAGCGCGCGGCGGGCCGCACCAGAAGCGAGCAGAAGGAAAGAGCGAAGACTAGCCATCGCTCGGACGTCCATTCCCTGTGTTTTTGTTCGGTTTTGTGCGTGGTTTTTGGCAGGATGATCTAGGATTTCGTGCCGGGTGTCGTGCCTGGTTTCGGGTTTCGTGCCTGGTTGTTGGCAGAATGATCTAGGACGCTCCTTAATAATCCCCGCCGAGAAAAATTGCACACGTCCGAGCGATACCAAGAAGAGAGCGAGGAGAGGAAGACGGGGCCCGATCAGACCATGCTGGCTTCTCCCATCGTACTTAAAGGCCACATCCCAGAAACAATTTCGAGCACCCGGAATCGGACGAGCGTCTCCCCAGGCCCGACACGTGAAAACCCTTGGGTTTCTGTACTTTGCTGGCGCTCGATATCTTTCTGGTGGTCAAGGCTTAAAGTAGGTTGGCACATCATAAATGTGGGCCGGCGCGGGAGTGCCGAGGAGGGACATGCAGCTGCGTCCGAGCAGCGGTGCCAGCAGCACGAGGTGACAGACACTGGAGAAGCCGAGGAACGCCAGGATGTCCAGGGTTAGGTCAGGCATGTCCTCCTACAGGCGAAAATTGGACGAAAAATCAAACATACCCCAAAAGTGTCCTAAAATACACCAGTCCCCCGACTGTTTTTTAGTGACAAATTTTGAATATTCCTCCTGTAGAAGGACAAGCCCGACTTAAGTCCGGGCACGGGTGGCGCACCAAAACAGCGACTCGAGAAGGCAACCGAGCTTGCGAATGCGCGCGCGCTCGAGCAGCGCTGTGCGCGAAACGGGCACGGGGAGGGCGACAGGCAGAAGGAAGAGCAAGAGGACCTCAGAATTCGGAGCTCGGCGATCCGCGAAAAGACACCCGATGCACGCTGCACGCCACAAGAGAGAGAGGAAGAGAACGAGGAGGAGGAGGAGGAGGAGGACGACGACGAGGAAACAGACGAAGAGGACGACGAAGACGACAACGACGATGGCGAAGGTGCCAACGGAAAGGGGCAGGAGGCAGGGAGGGGGGGGCAGATGACAAAGAGGACGGACGGACAGAAAGGCGCGCGGATACGTCCCGCTGGCAAGCGCGGGTTGTGCCCTCGCCGACCTGAGCAGGAGGACGGCAGATAGGAAAGAGGAGGACAAAGGGAAGGAACACGAGGAACTACGGCTGACGAGTAAAGTTGGTGATGTAGAACCTTGACGAATTCGTCCAAATGGCACAATCACGGTGACCTGGTACACTACGTCAACTTAGCTTTGGCAGTCTGGCAGAGGCTACACAGCTGCTGCCCACGAATTATCCTCCTCCCCCCCCATCCACTGTTTACGCAAAGCCGTCCGTACCAACACCATCCCTCTTCCCCCTCCTTCTCTTCCTCATTCTCCTCCTCCTCCTCCTGCTCGTCCTCCTTATCATTCTCCCCCTGGAAAAAACTCCCGAAGTAGATATGCACGAGAAAGGATCGATGGTGCTTATCAAGAAAACGCGAACATAACATGCGATCCCCGTGTACTTGAACCACACGGCGTCGTCGACGACATCCGCATGACCCCAAAACAAATGCATCCGTCTCACCCAGCCGTGACGCTCTGTTCTAACACCCTCCCTTGGCCAATTTGGCCGAATGGAGCGACGGGGCGAAAAAGAACAACAAACCGACTGGACGAGATGAACCTCTGCGCAATTCTAAACGATCAGAGACCGACAAACGTGGAACTAAAACACGCGTTACCTTGCAAAATGCGGCCATGGTCGGGCCGTGCACGTACAGGGGCTTCCCTACAGGCGAGACATTATGTTCAATTGTCGCGAAATGTAGAAGCAACGCATAATATGTGTGTGTATATATATATATATATATATATATATAAATGTATCGATCGCACCTTGAATAGTAGTTGTAGCTAACAGGCAGAAGAAAAGCGAGAGAGGACAATCACCTAGCACGCGGAACGGCGGCTGACCGACCGCGCGGGAGTGATCGCGCAGCCGCCGCGTGCCCTGACCTGCTCAAGGGTGCTGTCAGAGCGCCAGAGCGGCAAACAAGAAGCCGGTTTCTCTCATCGGCGGGGTCGCAAGTGATTGTCGAGTGCCCAACCTCGTCGCGCTCATCCTGACGAACCCGAAAACCGCAGTCGCGGTGGTTTCTAGCCGGTATGATGCGCTTGTCCACCACGTTTTCGAAAAGCCTCATTGCTTTCAAAAGCGAAAGATCCATGCTGCGCAGGTAACAGCCCAGCCGCGAGAAAGAAGCTCCCAACCCAAACAAATCGACATGGGAAATGACGATTTTGGGGGCTCGGGCACATCCCCCCCTTATCCCCGAGAGGCGGCCCATAAGGCTCCTGAGAGCACCCGAATGGAAAATCACCTGTTTCAGGTTCCAAGTATCACCCCCGAACGGTTTCAGGGTACTTCTGGAACTTGATTTAAGTCGGGCGTCCCCCTACAGGGGGATTTTCGACGAATCATAAAAGAATTCAAGAAATACTCCAAAATGGTCAAAAAATACTCAAAAATAGTCCCCAGACTATTTTTAACTATTTTTGGATATCCCCCCTGTAGAGGGACAGGCCCGACTTAATTCTTGAAACGGGTGGATGCCCCTACTTCCTGCCCTCGTCTTCCCCGGAAGCGGCACCCACCCCGACGGGGCCTCCCGGCAGCCTCCCAGCATCCGCCCCCACTCCACCCGGCACAAGCGCGCGGGCCAGCCATGGCCTGCGCAGGAGCGGGCGCAGTCTCCCGGGCGCCTCCCCTCGTCGAAGACGACGACGACGACGACGACGACGACGACGACGACGACGACGACGACCCGCCCCCCTCCTCGCCTCTTCATTACGCACATGCTCCCCGCCTCGCTCGCCGTCGTGCGCCCGCCTCGCTCGCCTCCCCCTCTCTCGAGCTGTTCCCCTCCCATGTGCTCCCCCTCCTCCCTCTCCTGGCCAGCTCCCCCCTGCCCTTCTCCTCTCACCCCCTATCCCACTTCCTCTCGCCCCTTCCTCCTCCATCCCCCTACTCCCCCCCGTCTCCCTTATCCTCCCCATACCCCCTCTCACCTGCCCTGCCCTCCACCATCCTCACACATCCACATCTCCACCCTTGTTCGGCTACGCTCACCATCCCCATTCCGCATCCCCCACCCAGACAGGAGGGAGGAGGGAGGGAGCCGAGGTTTCTGTTTCAGTCATAGTGGGTCTCGAAGTGGCTGCAGCAGGGAGACACTGCTGGGGGAATGCAGCACGCGAGTTGGCAGGATGGAGGGAAACAGGAGGCAGAAGAAAACGCCATGGCGACGACGGCGGCCATAGCACCAGCCTCCTTCCGCCGACGGCGACCACGCCGAAGGCCCACAGCAACGATCGCCGACAGCAACACGGCCGCCGACGACGACGACGAACGCGACAGCTGACGCCGACGGCGGCGGCGCCGCCGACAACGACGATCGCCGACGGCTGCAAGCGTCGCCGCCGCCGACGACGATAAGATGGAGGGGCGCCTGGGCGCCGGCCTCGAATAGATGGCCAGCCGCGCCGCTTGCCTGACAGGGCCGAGCGGGCATCGCAAGTCTTGCCTGCGCGGCCTGGTGGTAGGAGACCGCAACCTCAAGGCCCAGGGCTGCCTCTGGGCGACAGGGGTGGACCCCTCAGAGCGAAGCATCTTTCATTTCTGATCTGGCGCTATAGTCCCACCAGCCCTTTGGGCGTGAGTGGTTTAGGGAGCTCTCTCTGTCCTCAACCCCCCTTCTTCCCCTTTGGGGAGGGGTTTACCCCTCCCCCTACCCCCTCCCCCTGGGCCTGGACAGGGATTCCGGGGCGTCGCCAGGGGGGTCTTTTTCGACTCCTGGGAGGGCCAAAAAACGACGACCCTCACAAGGATTCTGGCCCGGGGGGGGGGGGGGGGGGGAGTTTGGCGCCTCAGCTCGTCTTTGAAGCAGAAAGCATTGATTTTACAATGGTTTTGGCCCCATTTTGGCCTTCTGAGGGGGCCGCGCTCATCTTCCCTCATAGCAAAATCATTGATGTTACGAAGGTTTTGGGCTCATTTTGTCCTTCTCAGGGGGCAGCTCTCCTTTGCGCTTCTGCGGAGGTCGCAAGAGGCCCCAAGATGGCCCCAAGAGGCCCCCAGGAGGCTCCCAAGAGGCCTGCAAGAGGCAGAGGCCCCCAAGCGGCCCCAAGAGGCCCCCAAGAGGCCCCCAAGAGGCCCCCAAGAGGCCCCACGAGGCCCCAAGAGGCCCCCAAGAGGCCCCCAAGAGGCCCCACGAGGCCCCAAGAGGCCCCAAGAGGCCTTTTTTTTTCACCCCAGATCCAGCGCCGCGGACTCCGCCACGCTGGAGGCTTGCCGCACTGAGCTCAGTGCGGCCCCGCGAGGCCCGCGGGCCTCACCCACCTCTCCTCGTGGGCACCATTTCGGCGGGGAGCGGCCTGCCCGTCTGCGGGTGGCAGCCGCGGAGGATGCGGCCCCGCCTCTTCCTCCTGGAGTCCGCTCCTCCGTCGGCCCCTCGCGGCGGCAGGGGCCCAGGGCAGGCGCGGCCCAAGTTGGCCCTCCTCACCGCCGAGTGGGCCCCGCACACGCGGCAGACGACGTAGGGGCCGAAGACCTCCACGACGTGCGCCCTCCTGAGGTCCTCCTCAGCGCACGGCGGGCCCTCGAGGACAGGCACGTCCGCCGCCACCCTGCGTCTCCGAGGCGACCTCGACCTCCGAGGTGACCTCCCCGCAGCACTGCCGTCATCTCCATCATCTCCGCCTGCAGCTGCCGCCGCCACCGCCACGCCAGCGCAGGCCGCCGCCGCCCCCACAGCGCCGCCAGCCCCACGCCCTGCAGCCGTGGACGCCTCCTGCCTTGCCGCCCTCTGCCTCCGTGCGCATGCGGCTCCCACTCTAGCCTCCAGCGAGCCCCTCTCCTCGCTGGACTGGTGGCCCACCGCCTGCCAGGGAGGGGGTGCGCAAGCGGAGGCCCACAGCTTCTTCCTCATCCTGGCCGACGCTGCACGCTTGCCGCACCGCGTGCACACCAGCCAAGCTCCACACACCTCGACCTCGTGCCTCGTGAGGCTGACGTAGGGCCTCTGCTGCTTCCTCCTTCTACTCGGCCCCGTCCTGGGCGGCACGTCGGGCCACCCTTCTTTCATCTCCTGGTACCACCAGCCGATGTTCTGGATGGCCCACTTCACCTTCTCATCCAGGCACTCCAGGGTCTGCTCCCTGCCGCACCCGAAGTCCTCCGCGGCCCCACGCTTGGCCAGGGCGTCCACCGCCTCATTGCCCCTGGCCACTTGCTGCGCCAAGCCCTCGAGCCTGCTGATGGCCGCTCTGGACCTGTGGGCCTTCACATGCATCACCCACTCTGGCTCAAGTCCCACGTCCGCGATCTTGTGCCAGATCCTTCTCCAGACGTCCGCGTGCGGCCTTCCCCAACTTAAGCACCATCTCGGCCCCCGCCTGATACCGTCAAGGATGCCCTGGTGGTCCGTGAAGATCCTGCACGGCGGCAGCACCGTCTCCAAGGTCTTTAAGAAGGCCCACATCTCGGCCCTCTTGACCGTCTTCTGCTCCTTGAAACGGCATGGCAGGGGGCCCCAGAGCTGCACCGTGGGGGCGCCTCCCGCGTCGATGGCCATCGCGGCCCACCCCGCCTGCGCCCAGCAGCTGGTGCCCAGCTTGGAGCCGTCGCACACGATGTCGCCCGACAGGAGGGCGTCCGTCTCCTGGAGGACGTCCCAGTGGAAGTCCGCCTCGTCGACCGACCTGTGGGCCCAGTCCGCCGAGGGGTCCCGCGCCAGCCCACGCGTCCAGAGCAAACTGTCCTCCTGCTGCTCCGCCACGTGCTGCCACTCCGCCTGCGCTCGCCTCCTGACCTCGAGCAGCGCGGGGCACCGAAAGAAACGATGATGCGGGGTGCCGAAAGCCAGCCCACACCCAATGCAGATGTCGGTCGGCGTGATGCTGACCTCGGCAAGCCTGTTCATGGTCCAGGCCCCCGCCAGCACCACCTTCCGAGCCGCCCGCTTCGCATGCGCAGGGAAAGCCCGCGCGGCCAGCTGCGCCACCACTGGCGGGAGCCTCGGGCCTGGGGCTAGGCACTCCATGCCTGGCTGCTGCGCCGTCCACTGCTCCCACAGCACCTTGCGCAGGTCAGCCCTGAGGAGCGCCCCGACGTCAGTGGGGCACACCGTCGTGAGGTCCACCATCTCGCCGTCCTTTGTGCAGTAGACCGTCCACGACGGCCAGGTCCACCTCGCTCTCCTCAGTGACATGATGACCGCCCCCGCGGGTCCTTTGACCTTGGCCCACTGCGGGCTCATGCCCACCTCCTTCTGCTGCTGCCTCCACGCGTTGCTCATCTGTTCGCTCAGGAGGACAGCCTCACTGCCGACACTCGTCCTCCTGCTTATCTTGTCCTCCGCGATCTCCATCTGGCTGCCCGCCACCAGCAGCAGCTCGACCAGGCTCTCAATGGTGCTGACACCGAGGTAGCCTTCCTCTTCCTGCATGCCTCCTTCGCTTCCTTCCCAGGGACATTGCGCCCCTCTCGACACCAGCAGCCGCCGCACCACCTTCAGCAGCGCGACCTGCTCTTGCCTGTACTGCGAGATGACCTGGGCGCGGCAATCCTCGTCGAGCGCGTCAAGATAACGGAAGGCTGCACGCCTTCTCCAGCACGCCCTCCGCCACGCACGCCGACACACCTCTGCAGCAAGATACTCCGCCTCCAGAGCCTCCTCCTGGGGCAAGCTTCCACCTGTGGCCTTGGAAGCCGCCTCCCTCCTGAGTTCACTGCGGAGGCCTGCCTGCGCTGCCTCCTGCAGATACTCTGCGACCAGGGGAACACTCCACTGGCTCCAGTCCTCCTGCCGCTGGTGCTTCTCGCCCCTCAGATCCTTGATCCACAACGCCGTCCAGACACCGAGGGCATCCCTGAGCCTAGCACCCGCCTCAGGACAGAAGGCCTGCTGGCGACAGGGTTGCGCCTGCCCCTGGCCCCCTGCAACGAGCACTCTCAGGTCTCCTGCCACGGCCTGCTCCCAGACGGCCCTCGCCCACCTGACCACCGGCGCAAGTGTGGCCCCCTCGGTGGGGTCCTCCTTCAGCACCGCCAACTGCAGGGTGAGGCTCTTGGCTCCTCTCGAACCTGGAAGCAACTGACCTGCCGCTCTCCTTACCTGCTGCAGCTGGTGGTCTGGCATGCCCAGGCACTTGCACCCATGCATTACCGACCTCTTGAGGCCGCACTTGTACACCAAACCAATCCCTCTAGTCACACCTTTGCCTGAGCCTTTTCAGCCCCTTTAGCCTGGCGACCCTGTTCCTCATGCGCTTGAACCTCTTGCCACTCTTGTTCTTTGCCGCCGTCCCGTGGGCCACCACGTCGACTCCGAGGTAAGGGCAGGCCAGCACCAAGGGCAAACCTCTCTCTGCTGCATCCTGCTTGAGAGCCTGCCTCAGCCACTTGGCGCTGGCCATGACCGCCCCCTTGCCCTGGTCGCCCAGGGAGAACTCGAGCCCCAAGGCCGCGAAGCCGTCCACGCTGTCGTCCACAACGGACGGGAAACTATCCACGATCCACTGCTGCGCCCCTCGCTGCTTGAGGCACAGGTCGTCAACATACATCCTCCATTGCACCAGCGGGTACTCCACTACCAAACCGTCAATCGTGTCCTGGATGACCATCTTGAGGAAACCCACCGAGAACTTGCTGCCCGCGATGATCGTAGCCAC